ACGATAAAATGCGCGCCGATGGGATTCAGGGAGATTGAATAAAGACAAGTCTACAAGCGCAGAGTTTTGAGTAGAGGTATCACACATTTATAAATTTTCAAGTAAATACACAGTAGATAACGGTTTACGGTACAATTTATAATTAGTTGCATGAGATAACCGTCCCTCGCTTTCAAATATCCTTCTCTCGCGCTCTCTCTCTCTCTCTCTCTCTCTCTCTCTCTCTCTCTTCAGCACCTCTCTTTCTCTCTCGTAGATAAAATAACCGATTACCGCAGATATTGCCTGACCATTCGCATTCGGGAGGAATCTGCACGAGAGGCAAGATCCTTTATCGACGTTATCGTTAGCTCTGTCTCGGCACGAGCGAACGTCTCCGTACAAAATCTCCGCAGATATAAACTCCGTTGATGCGCGGCAAAAAGATTATCTCTCCGATTAAAAAGATTATCAATTTATTATTACACTGGTTCATTAGAGAAAGAGTTGTCTCTCGCTATCTTAAGAAAAAAAAAAAAGTCGAGTCACAATGTGAGCAATAAAAACGCCACGCATTATCGTCGCGATAACAGATCGTTACAAATTATCGTCAAGTTTTTCCTCGAACGAAACGCTCTTCGCGAGATACCTGTCGCATAGTGTGTTGCATTAATTATTATATTTAATACGATCGGGTATATAAGATCGCGCGGAGATCGGATCGAAAACAGATCCCCTTATAAGGACTGGTTATTGGATGTTTTCTTCCGCCCTTCCGTCTCTTTATATTATAACACACACGACTCTCTCTCCATTTTATTACCGAACTCATTAACACACGTCGAGCATGACCGAAGTTGTCGCGCGCGGCTATCGATATTATCGTACGCGAAACGCACGGGGGTTTGGAGGGGAAGGAAGAGGGTCGAGAAGGGCGGAGGGGACTTAGTTGCGCGTCGCGATGATCGCGACGTTATCTCGTTCGCGGTTGCTGCCTCGATTTACATGTAAACACCTCGTCCGACCCGATAAGACTCAATTAAGTTACGCCTTTTAATTAATAAGGGTACGCTTAATCGACATCGATCTCTGGATCCCTCCCCCTACTTTGTATCTCGATGGCATCGCATGGCTGTGCTCCTGCGATGCCATGCCCGAGCGGCCCCCTTGATTTTTAAAGTTAGACTCGTATAATCGCGTGTCACCGTATTTGGATTTTTTGTGCGAGCATCTCATTTACCGATTTCGCGACGTTGAGTCTTTTATTTATTTATTTATTTTTTCGATAAGATTATCATTCTGAAATTTATGAATTGGATAGAAAGATAACCATATGCAAATTGTGCTTGTAAAAAATACGTCTTGAAAGCGGATTCAGTTTCAAAATAAAGCAAGACGTCGATAGGCTACTGCGATTATTAATCATGACTAGTCGCGATAAGAGATGCACGATTCTCGTCTCGCCGACAATGTTGATGGAATTTCGTGCAACCTATCGTCGTGTTACCATAAGATTTGTGATCGCGTGCGATTCATCACACGGTGTGCTCCAGGCTCCATTGTTTCTAAGCGGGCAAAAAAATCTCGCATCGATAATGTCATGATATTACGGGGCCGTGAAATGGAATCATTAATAATTTCGAAACGATATTATTATCGGCACGCGTGATTGATTAAGGGACTTTCTCTTTCTCTCTCGCACACGTAAACTCTAAGCGAAAATAAATTTTATTCGTGGATGCGACATCGTTCGAGATAACGATACAACATCATCACGCTGGCGACAAGAAAAAGGGAGACTGTAAGAAAGAGAGAAGCATTATATATATGCGGAAAATCATTAATAATTCAGTAATGACGATTATACGGCACGTATGATTTATTAAAGGATGCGCAATGATCTCGAGTCTTCGAGGAAAATTTACGTCTTCCCGATATCCGGTGATAACGCAATGAATATCATTGACGATATTATTGATCGGGGAGAAAAAACATCCGGTTCTGCGAGAAGGAAATAAATCGGACGTTAAGTCGAGGCAGCAGAAGAAGAAAAATACGGACGGTATTGAGCGCGAAAAGAAGAGGTAGAAGAAGAGAGAGAAACGATGAGAAAAAGGAAGATAGAGACACATGGAGGGAGAAAGAAAGGAGATAGAGAGAAGAAAGGAGAGAGCATGACGCTATACATTGTACATATACACATCTATAGTTAGTTTATAATAATGCTCGATTAAAGATTGGTCGGTGTATGCGTGATTTATTATTTAATTTATTTTAAGTTAAAACCTTCTTTTTACAATGGTATCTTACAATGTGTCGCTTTTTACATCCAATAAACATCCTCGCCGCGCGCGCGCGCGAAAGGATCGCTCCTTCGCCCCCCTTTCCTCTCTCTCTCTTTTCACGATATTCTCCTCGTCGCACTCTCAGTATCTCGATCCCTCTCGCGAGTTTGTGCGGGTGTGCGCGATCGGCCTCTCTTAAAAATCATATATTTCTGTGTGTTGTTTTTATTTTTTTTTTTTTACACAAGCTACACGCTACTTCCTAATAATACTATTAATAGATACTTCCTTCCCCTCTCCTCTGTCCCTCCACGGTCCTCTCCGGTCGGGAAACGTGCGATCTCGCACGAAAATAATCGATCGGTACCGACTTTTGCTCTCCTCCCCCTTCTCCTCCTTCAGTCTTTTGGAAAATCGCCGCTACCTCCTCGTCTCGTTGTCTCGTCCTTACCCGCGGCGAGAGGAAAAAGTACCGTGCGATATCTTCCCGGATATATATATATATATATATATATATATATATATATTCATCCTCTTCCTCCTTCTCCTTTCCAATTCTTTCTTCCCTTTCCCCTCCCCCCAATTTACCATGTCTCCACATCTCACTCGTATTATCTATATACGTCTAACTAGATTCGCAAAAAACATACGCGAGTGATAAAACCTCTAGAATCGAAAAATCACAATGTATTCGGAACTCAAGCGAGTGAGTCTCTCTCACGAGTAGCAATCAATCAATGGACAATCAATCGACGATGATCGATAATGATAATGACGGTACTAATGATCGCTCCCCCCCCCCTCCCTCCTTCTTCCGTTCCCCCGATATCTCACCTCCTCGCGACCTCTCGCCGATGAGTCGTCAATTATATGTATATTCTGCCGACTATTTATATGCATAGTTGTATTTATGTATGTGATGCGGAATTAATTGCTAATTATGCACAATCACTTGACGCGCGCGACGATAGCGACCGTCGCGCTACGTGTGTTTCGATATATATATATATATATATTTATTATATA